AGCGGAGCGCGGCGCCCTCCCCGCGCCCCGCTCCGCCGCGGGGCTGTCCGCGGTGCTGAAGGGAGCGCGGCGGGGCGGGCGCGCGGCCCCTGACGGAGCCCCCTTTATGTTCAGCTCCTGGCGCAGCGCAGCAGCCAGCAGCTCCAGCGGCGGCGGCGCGGGGCCGGGCGCCGCCATGGAGCGCTTCCTCCGCCTGCTCGTGGGCTACCTGGCGGCCGACCTGCTGACGCTCGTGTGCCGGGCGCAGGAGAAAGCGGGGCAGCAGCTGGGCAGCTTCGTGGTGCTCGCGGCAGGGAACCACTCGGGCCTGGCGGAGCAGCCCGAGCCCTCCGAGCCCCCCCCCACGCCGGACTTCTGCAGGGGCTACTTTGACGTGATGGGGCAGTGGGACCCCCCCTTCAACTGCAGCTCCGGGGAGTTCATCTTCTGCTGCGGCACTTGTGGCTTCAGGTTTTGCTGCAAGTTCAAGAAGACGAGGCTGGATCAAAGCACCTGCACGAACTATGAGACGCCGCTGTGGATGAACACGGGGAAGCCGCCCTCCCGCATTGACGACCCTCTGCACGATCCCACCAGGGATAAAACCAACCTCATCGTGTACATCATCTGCGGGGTCGTGGCAGTCATGGTGCTGGTGGGGATCTTCACCAAGCTGGGGCTGGAGAAGGCGCACAGACCCCAGCGGGAGCACATGTCCAGGTAAGGCCGGGTGCCAGCGCCCCAGCGGAGCCGGGAGCCCGGGGGACCCTGCCGAGCAGCCCCTGCCTCGCGGGCTGCCCTCCCCTGCAGGAGACGGGGACGGCCAGGGAGGAACTTTGCAGAGCAGGGCAGCTCAGCAGCCCCTCGCCCTGCTGCCACGCTGCACGCCTGCTGGGGAGCACGGCGAGCACGGGGAGCCGGCACGGGGAGCAGTCCATTTTGGTCTGCAGTGTCCGACTCTCTCCCCAGCAAGACCCAGCAAGTGTGCCCGGGTAGAATGTGGATGAAGAGAAATAAGAAGGAAAAAAAAAAAAAAAAAAAAAAAAAAAAAAGGAAAATCCTGAGACCAGCAACACTGATTTACAGAAAGGCTGATGGGTTCCCTCCTCCAACAGTTTCTAGGCTCAGAAAATGTTTTTACTTCTCAGCTGAAGGATGTAAACAAATGTCATCTCACCCTCCCTCTCCAGCTGCAAAATGGTTTTGGCAGGACCTTCCCTACTCCCCCAGCCCTTGCAAGTGTGTGAGCTATTTGTAAAATATGTGAGCTGTGAAAGCGAGCCAGGGTGGAAGGGAGAGAGGCAGACACAAAAAGCAAAAGCTATTATAGAATTTGTTCACATTTTTCACTTACTACTGGGAGGGAAAATACGGAATACACAGGTCTTTGTCGCCTGTGTGTGTGTCACACTGTGTATCCCCAGCGTAATGGCCGAGCTTCGTGAAGGGCCCTTTCCCCGCCTGCGCTGGGCATCGGGCACGCGGCTGCTCCACACGCCGGCTGCCTGGCGCAACAGAGGAAGGTGGGCACTCAGGGCAGAGCGGCTCCAGCAACATATTTCAAACGCAGATTGTCAAAATCAAGGCATAATACGTTTGTCAAGTTCGCAGTGTGTCTGATTCGTTATGCTAATCCCAGGCACATGAAAGCAAAGCAGATTTGGGGGAGGGGAGGGGGGCGAAAGACATTTAAAAAGGCAAATAGCTCTGTCCAAGTCTCTGAATCAGTTCCAGGATCTTGGGCAACTTTAGCGGTGAGATGCAGTTAAACAGCTGACTGCTGCTGGACAGGCAGCGTGGCACAAAGCTCCTCTTGTCCTGGCTGGTTACGGGGTAATCACAGTCCTGAGAGCTTAGGTGAAGAATCGACCTTAGAAAGGCGACCAAGAGATCAACTTGACACTAGGAGCCTCTTGTTGAAGTTTCTCTATGGCTTTTTGATTAACAGCTTGTCCTGAAACGGAGAAATCCACCAAAAATAGTGCTGCGAATGCATCACCAGTTCACTAGCAATTATTTGCTATTTATAAACTGGCTGATATGGATACGCGCTTACTACTGAGAAACAAAGCACACCACAGAAATTGTACTCAACTCAACACTGTGTGCCAGGGGTAATTCTGCAGAGAGTCTGTTTTTGAGCAAGGCATAATAATTCTTTAGTCATTTTGAATATCTTGAACTTGAGAAAAAGAATACACGTGGTTTGTTTTTTAATTTTAGACTCTGAAACTATGGAGTTGAAGCCCCTTTTAGTAAAAGCTCTTCTTTGCTTCAGTCTATTTTTGAAGTGCCTTCATGCAGGCAAAAAGACAGGGCTCATAACAGTTAGAGAAAACAGGACAGCGTGAAGGTGTTGCCATCACTGCTTATATCTGGCTTGAATTGCCCCTATTTCTACTAGAAGAAGTACTTGTTAAAGAAGCTCCACGGATTCACAATCTAAAGTGCAGGTGTGAAGGACTCTGAAGGATTCTGTCTTCGCTGATGGAAACAGCGTTACAGGGGATTGGACTGTCATTCTGAAACCCTTCAGGCGTGTGCACAAAGATCAGGTTTCCGAAGCAGTTCTTAGGTCATTTGTTACCCTGATTACTTAACGTTGTTTGAAATCTTGTACTTTTCTCTCCATGAAAATGTTCAAGGCAGGCTTACAGCAACTTGGAAAGTCATGATCACATGGAAAAACAGTCACCCACTCAGTACACATAATAGCTAGTCATGTTCTGAAAAGGCAGCGCTACAGCTCCTTTTAAAAAGTTCTCACACGCCGATTACAGCTACGGAGGGTGGGTTTACCATGAATTGTAAAAGAAATTTGATTTGGAAATTCCTTAGTCAATATAAAAATCTGTCCACTGAGTGGAGAACTGAAATAACCTCTTTGTCCTTGCATGTGGGTTTGACTAAAATACTCTATCCTAGCTCGTTTTACACTGCTGTTGTTTTAGGGGAAAAAAGGCTGCAGTGTTTAAGAAATAAATAATTTATCTGTTTAAACCATTAATAGTATCAGCAACTAAAATACTCTATCTAGCCTATATTCATTATCACCTGCTCTTATAATATCCGTCAGTATAATACCAGGGGAAAATAATATTTTTCCCCTGCTGAACCTTGTTGAAAAGCACACGTGTGATGCTCTGAGAGTGCCAGGTAGGCCAAACCAAGAGCATTATGTACTACTCCATTTTGGCTGGCAGCAAGACTGGCTTTTCAGACACGGAGACTGATTTTTCTTTTATTCCCTTAGCTGAGCTTGACTGCTTTCCCTTGCCTAGCCAATGCATGAAACATGGGAATCCTCCTCATTCCTATGAACAAATTCACCAGGGGAAGGGATGGTGCAGCTTACCAACAACAGCGCACCATGTTGACTGCCTCTTAATGAGAGATTTWAAGTCACTAGAATACAGCTGGTGTAAATTATGTAATTTTATTTTTATTTACTAAAAATATTTTAAAATAGGAACAGAGACATTCCCTTGGAAATGGAAATAAGAACATTGAACTAAGAAATAATAAATAATAAAAATAAATAAGAAATAAGAACACTTGGAAATAAGAACATCGACTTATAAATGGGAAGCAAGACTGTAGCATCCTTATTAATTCCACGTATTATTCCTACTTGCCACAAGTGGATTTGTTGAAGTAAGGTGTGTATGTCTGTGTGTGTGCATGTGAGTGGTGCTGTATCCTAATAAAAGTAACTTCACAGACTTGGCAAGAATAGTTTCTATAGGCAGTCACTGCATCTTGCTTACTGCTCCATCAATACAAAGCAAGAGTGCTCCATTTGTTTCCCTGAGTTTTCCGAAAAGTTTGACAATCCAAAAAGCATTGGGGAAAATGTATTTAGTTAGTGACATCCACAGGGGGAAAAGCTTTGTTGGATTTGGACAAGTCTGTTTTTATAGCCGGGGGAAGAGTTTGTTTTGTTTTGTTTTCTAAAGGCAAATTTGCAAATTCCTGTTCTGAGGAAAAAGGCAATGTGTGGCGCTGTTGACACTTCCTTTTTTGTTCTTCTGACCAGTCCTTGCAGTAAAACTGAATACCGTTGGTAGGGGCTTGTAAATATAGAAGAGGAAAATGGTGAGGGAAGTACAGTAAGAAATCTGCATGGCTGCCCTCTGGACATCACCTGTTCATGTTCGTATCACTCTCCTTCTTTATAACTTCATTATTTGACATTCGATGGAGTTAGATGTTTTCTCCAGATATCGAGTGTGCAAGGACTAAGCAGTGCTAATAGCATCCAAAAACCYTGCACACAGGGCAAGAGGAATGAGTGTCTGCAGCACTGTTGTGCCTGAAGGAAACAGGGGGCTGATCTGTCCTGTGCATTCACAGTCTCTGCTGGGCATTTAGGTGCAGGACGTGCTTGCTGCCTCAGGCAGCATCAACGGGACTTCCAGGCTCCCTTGGTTAAGTGGAGGAGCCTCTCTTCAAAACTGGTGGAACTCCACAGTTTACTTGCTGGAAAAAAGCCATACTTTTCTTCCATGGAAGACATTTTCTGTAAATAAGACTGTAGCTTTGTCTTCTCTCCTAATCTTTGTGGAGAATGTGTAAACAAATCAGAAATATTTATACCCTAGAGCTCGTGTTTTTTTGAAGCAGAGCTTCTGCCAGYGTGTTAGCAGCCTTCTGAATAGCATGAACCCTCTGAGCTCCTCGTTCTTCCTTCACAATGTGCTGAGCTCACAAGTCAAGTCTTTTGTTGATCGTTCAAAAGGCAAGTATCTGGGACCAGAGATCGTCTGTCTTGCCAAACCACTGAATCCTACGTGTGAAATTATTTCCCTTATGGGTTTTGACTCAGATTTGGAGGCAAAATATGACAACTGACCTTTCATGAAATACTCTGTGTTGGAGCTTTTTCAAGCTTGTARCCATAAACGAAATGTCTAGCTACACATGCTTTGTTACAGCTGAAAATAGTATTACATATCCAAAGAGCAGAATCTCWTAATAAGAAAAAAAATGAAGGTTATTGATACTTCCTGTCTAGTTCTGGGCTGTGAGCTCACATGTTGCTAACATTTCTGCACTTCTATGATATTGTAGTCAATACCAATATCAAGACCTATTGATATCATTACCTGATTAGAACATTATCTTATATTTTCCATTTTTTGAACAATCATTAAGTGTGGCACAAGTATGGAGAGAGGGCCTTTACATATATCATTTTCCAATTGGACCTGCTCAAACCATTTCTTTGGATAATGAGCAAATTCAGCATGATACTCGAAAGAGACAAATRCATCCAGTCTGTTGGCCTATAGGGAGTTTTTCAAAGGAAAACATCTAATCAAGGACTTTGCCATATGCATGTCAGGGGCATGAAGCTCTATTAATTTAATTACATGGGTAAATCCCTAAAAGAACAAAATGCAGGTACAGCATTTCCTTTGCGCTTCGATGACGCGAGCTGCTACTCATCCTTGGCTCTTTTTGATACCACTAACAGATAAGGACAGATAAGCTTTTCTTAATATGAAATAATCTGCCCCTGAACAGATTGTCCAAATTTGGCTAATACAAGATAAACATGGGTACAGTGTCATTGAAAATAGAACTTGACAATGAGAAGTTCCTTTTTCCTTTACATAATGGGAGTTGGACAGATAATTCTGTAAAATCCTTTTGAAAAATCCATCCTAAAATGGTAGAGGACTTAGCTGGCATTCTCACAGACACGCAGTAGTTAATCTGGCATCACACAGGGTGTTATTTACAGTCTGCGCTCAACAATATTTACCATCAGATTAAGGGCAGTAAAGAAAGTACCTCTGGAAACCTGCTCTCACAAAGTTGAAAAATACTGATTTGTGTATTAGGAGATGACCCAGGTTTAGCCCCTGGGCTGAAGTTAGAAACCTGCATTTGCATTTCTTCCCTTTGCAGAAATGTGACCACTTGCCTTTGGAATTAATATTAGTATCAGTAATTTCATTTGCATAAAACTTGTTTTAAACAATGATATTTCTTAAAGTAATCCATTCATTTTGCAGCATTTTCTACATAGCTTTGTGAATATCTTCTACTGAATTTTTATTTTTCTTCTATGTAGGCCAGCTCGGCAATCTTTGCTGTATCAGCATTGCTTCAAATGGGAGCATTGCTCTCATACCATTAATCACTTGGCTGCTATCTCTTGACCTTTTACAGTATCAACAGAGTGTTTCTGTAACATGTTGATCACAACTCTAACTAATATTTTAATATYACAGCACTGACTGAAAGCCAAAGAAAACAGACCCAAATCAGTTTTCCTGCATTTTGAGAGCAAGATCGAGCTCAAATTCCTCTTTGTCTGTCCATCTACATGTAACTTAAATGAAACTACTATTTAATTCTTCAAAGCACATTGTTTCTTGATCAAGAAATCATCATGTCACAGAAATACAGTGGAGGAGCTAGATGGTGCTTGCCTTGGCTTTCGATAGTGAATGTGTTTATTTTTATTTATTTATTAATTTATAAGCCAGTCTTTCTTGATGCCGTATCTGGGACACTGTATATAATTTTGCAGAAAATTAAACCAGCTGGGCACAGTGCCCAGAAATTCATCCATTCCCTTAAAAAAAGAGCTCAAGCCGTCTAAAAATTAAAACTAGTAGAAAACAAACAGGCAACTAATGGTCAGTGGTGCATTGACCTGTATAGAAAAGACTTGCATTTAACTCTGAAGACGTTAGTAACAGATGCCACCACTTTCCTTTGCCTAAGGCCACTTTCTGCAAGTGGCCCAATTATTTTACATGGCACAGCAGTTGAGCAGCTAGTTACACTGGCAGTGCCTGRTGGCTCATCTGGCTCCTGCTGAAGTCAACGGTAAATGTCCGTAGCCTGGAATCATGGAGAGATGTAGATGTCACCAGRCTGAGAGTTTCAGAGCTTGAAACTTGGTCACTAGCTCTGGTGCATCCGCTTACCTGAGTGCTGGAGCCTGTGGGACACGGAGCAGTGAAACCAGTGCAGAGAACGTTYGCACGAGCGGGATGGGCCCGTCTCCCTGCGGGAAGAAGCCATGCCAGGCTGGCCCATCCTCCTGTTAGGATCCCTTTTGCTCCCTCTCTGCTACCTGAAAGCTTTTGTCTTGGTTCTGAACTGCCTGCAAAGAGATAAAAAATTTCCCAACAAAGCTTCGCCCCATGTTAAGAGTTAGGACACTCAAACAGGTTAGAAAGAACCTTTGTGCATTGCCCCTTTGGATGGGAAGAGCTCGCGGCGCAGATCCCGCTTTGTTTGCACTGACTGCCGTAGGGAAAGCAGCTGCTCTGCGCGGCGCGATCGCGAACGCACGCAGGCCCGCGGGGCTGGGCTCTGGGGGAGCTGTGCTGGGGCAGCCCGGGCAGGCAGGGCGGGCAGCGCCCTGCCCGGGAGCCCCCCAGCACCCTGCGCCCTGCACCCAGCCCGCGTCCCAGCCCGCTTGCCTTGGGCTCCCACACACCTAGGCCCACATATAAGCAGCCTAAAACGGAGCTTAAGTGCAAAGTCCCACCATGGATCTGCATCCCTGGCTTCACTGTGAACAGAGCTGGCCTCTCCAGTGCACATTACAATGGACTTTAGTGGGCTGGGTCTCAAACTAAAACAAAACAAAACAAATAGCCAACCCCCCCCCCCAAAAAAAAAGGAATATAAGGAATATATAGCAAATGCCTTACAGATTTCGCAACAGATTTATTCTAATTTTGTTTGTTCCTCAGAGCTCTTGCTGATGTTATGCGACCTCAAGGTCCTTGTACAACAGATCATATGGAAAGAGATCTAAACATTGTAGTACATGTGCAACATTATGAAAACATGGAGACAAGACCTCCTCCAAATAATTTACGTAAGTTGCATTATAACTATATCAATATTTTGGAATGCTGGGACTCAAATGAGTATTACGAAACAAACGTTGTTGAACATCAAGTAAGTTTAGGCAGCAGGTGGGTTCTTGCACACTAGAAATATTCTTTAAGAATGAGAAATAGACAGGATTTCCTAGTGTGAATAGTGCAAGGCTAACAAAAAGCCATTTTGAATAGAAATATAATCACTTATTGAATTTATTTTGAATTCATAGTTATGAATTACAAATATATGTTTTATATCTTTTGTCTCTTTAAATGGTGTTTTCATTCAACTCATCAAGCTGTTACTTATTCTGTGGGGTTTCTTTTGTGCCAAAGTGCAAATAGCCAAGCTTAAAGTAAGACAAGATGAGGCTGTAAAGTCTCTTAAGAAAAGGGTCTTATTGGCTGTTATATCATCTGCACTTGTATAATAGCTAAATATTTTTCTGGATAGCATGAAGTGGCATATGGTTTTCACGTTGTTTTCACAAGGAAGATTATAATATTTTTAAAGAATATTTTTATTCTGTATGTGCTCTGTTAGTTAAGTTACTGAAGACAAGTGCATGTTGAACTTTCAAAGGAAACCTGGTAACATCTGTAGTGGTTCTGAAATGCTAGGCAGCTTTGCTCTCACTCTGGGATTAGGCCATAGCACAGATCTTTCTTATGTGCATATCTCATGAACAGTCTCATTGTTCAGTCTCATTTATTTTGCATATATATTTTATGTATATTATATATACACATATATTATATATATTATATATATGTATATTATATATATTATGTATATATTTTATGTAATTTATATTTATAAATATATATATGCATAAATGCACACAAATTATAGATGGCATATCTACAAATTCAAGTTCAATATATTGATGAAAGAGGAGAGCATCATTCAGAAAGGTGTGGATTATTTCTTAGGTTTGGTTGGTTTTATTCTGTGCTGATGCTGCAAATATACTTTTACTGCAATGGTATTGGGATTTTAAATCATTTTAAGTATACTCACTGGTCTTTGTCTTTCTGTAAGTATAGAATGTTGAAAATTTGTTTGTATTTGGACAAAGGATTAATTTTACTTACATGGCACTGTGCAGTTGTGAAATTTTACGTCTCCCTTCTTTGCGGGGAGCAGCACAAAAGCAGTGAGGGAAAGAGCAGGTCCTTGTGCTGCATGTGCTTTTGGTATTTGCTTTGTGGTAGAGCAAGATTTCTTATGCGCATGGTTACCAAATAACAAGAGAGAATAAAAGCTGTACCCTCTAATGAAGATACCACATGTAGTGAAGAGTGACATCTCATCTGTCTGCACTCTCTCCAGCAAAGTGCTTGCACGTGGCCCGTGTGCTCCTCGCTGCAGAGGGGGAAGTGCAGGGATCTGGTGCAGCAGCAGGGCTCCGATGGGGCAAGCGCAGCGCTTCCGAGGGCGGCCGYGGGCGGCTCGCCGGGAAGGGCTCCCGCCCGCTGCCATGAAGCTGCTGAGGSCTTGAGGGACGACGGAACATGCAGTTTCTCTCTGCTTTGCTCTGGGCATTAGCTTTCTGCTGATTGCTCCCTCTCATCTTCCTCTGCCTGTGCTTTCAAGAAGATACCAAACGGCAATGACGTTAGGGTGCAAATCCTTAGTTTCTTCCATATTTTAAACATATTCAGAATCCCAGTTAATGAAAAGTTCCAGAAAGTAAACAGATCCTTACTGCATTGATAGTAGCCTGATTTTTTATAATTTTCACACTGATATATTTAAAATACTCCATGCTCTAGAATATAAGGCATACCACAGCAGGTCTTTCAGCTCATTGAGTTCCTTGGATTTGGATTTAAGCTTGATTCTGTAGTGCTGCACATGTATGCATGTGCATGGGAATACATGTATGGGAATATATATATGGGAATATACATGTATATACATGTATATATATGTATATATATGGGAATATACATGTATGGGAATTCACCACTGCGGTTTACACCGTGCAAGCACTAGGGCCGCCTAAGGACTCGCCTTAATAATTAGGGTAGTAAATAGGGGCAGCCCAGAGACAGCGTCACGTGCGGTTTAGGCCTTCGTGCTCCGGCGGAAACCTCAGCAGCAAGCAGCTGGGATGGTGACCCATTCAGTCTTTAATCAACTTCTAGGATTAAGGCAATCATTTTAGGTTGTTTCACGCAGACCTTCAAGTGGTGAAATTACCCGAGGCATTCTATAGCTGACTCTATATACACTTACTTCATAGCAAATAGAGCATTACTTTTGTATTGTTACCATTATATTTTCTCATAAACTCATACAAAACATGACTAAATGACTCTATAAAATTAACCGGTATAGCACAAATAACGTAGGCTGCTAAATGCGCGAGCACTTATAATGCAGAAAAAAAGCTTTATAAATAAAAAATACATTCGGAAAGGTTTTTGAAGTCCAATACCTTGGCAATTTGAAATTTTATATCAGAGTTCTGAAACGCTGCAACATTACCTAGTCCTAGCGTGGAACAGACTTTTCTGGTATTTTTTAACAAGCAAATAAACCAGGCTCTGAATTACAGTTTTCATAGAAAACCTATTTCAAATCTTTATAGAAACAAAATGAAAAGGTGCAACATTACATCATCAGATACTTTGATATATATTTTTGAAGTTCTCTTTTCTAAGTTTTTACTCTCTCTGTACTAACTTTCTCAAACTGAGACGAAAAAGCTTTAGACTGACATGGTACTTTTCACATCCGCCCATGGATGTGATGAGGCAGGAGTAATTTCTTAGGCTCTCTGTATCTTTTTGTGTGGTGGTTATATTATTATGTCTTTCAAAATACCAAAGACAAACTATAAAAGGACAAATGATATTAAAAATGTTCTAATTTGAATGTTCATTTGGTCCTTCTGCCCTCAAGAAGTGCCATTTGCCTGCTGCTACCAGCTGATAGAGGAAGTGTTTCATACAGGGAAGCTCTGTGCAAATGGACTGCTCTGACCCGCAAAACGACTGCATCTCATCTCCGGAGTGTTTCTGACCAAAGAATGAGGATTTTCTGAGCAGCCTGCAGTTAACACGGCTACAGGAAGGCCAAGGGCAGGCCACAAGTGGAGATTTCTTCTCCGTGTCTTGTGGCTGATGGAAGTGCAGTTTACTCAGTTTCTTGTCCCTGCTTCTCTAGTACTCAGAAATGAATACCCCTTTTGGTGGAGCTGGAAGAAGGCAGAGTTTCTTCTGTGCCAATGTGAATMCCAACAACCTAATGCTTATTAGTAAAAGTGACGTTGTAGTTGTTACTTGCCGTAATTTTCCKCCAGTAATGTAGATTTCTTAGGATTGCTTGCGAAAAAATGATTATTTTCCTTCATTCATGTGCATTAGTAGGGAATGGAGCACTACAAACAAGCATCTCTCTACCAAAACCACAGTGTTCAAGTTTCCTAACTTGAAGTGTTAAATAAAACCTAATAAAACCCCCCAGATATTTAGAAGGTGTGTTAAAGACATGACTCCAAAAGCAAACCTTCTTTCAAAATTTGGATTTTGTTTTGTTCCTTTCCATTTAACTTCCATGAATCTTAAGAAAGTAGCAGCAGCATTCAAGATTTGTTTTTGTTTTGTATTTATTTGAGTTGTCAGGATTATAACACTGCTGCAGYGGGAGTTAGGAGATTTGGTGGTTCCATCCTCATTTCTGGAATGTGATTGCTGCTRTTATTTCTAATTCATAATCTGTGACAGCACAGTGAAACAAGTACTTGATGTTAATACTAACCACTGTCTCTTCTCTTAATGATTAGTAAAAGCTCAGCTACCATCCCCATAGTAATAACCGGCCTTATATTCATATTTAAAGCATTTCCGACTAACTAGAGACTCCCAACATAAAGGTGACTTCAAAGGGAAGCAAGTTCTATATTATGAAGTTTTTAAAATGAAAAAAAAAAAAGTAGGTTTTAAGTTAAGCACATATGTGCTGTTCTTCTTAATTTAACATACAGGAAAAAAAAAAAGCAAATTGCAAAGGTACCAGTGCAGGACTTTTGCTGTTGCACTGTAATAAATCAGCAGTTCTAACACTGGCCAAGAATTTGCAACATCTGTGATTACAATGACTTTTTCTCCTCTTGAAATATGCAAGGGAATAATGTGTTTGTTGCTGKTTTTGCTTGTCACTTGTCCTGGATACTTCTTGGCTACAACTGCACTGAAAACAAAGCTAAGACATTTCTGTAAATGGCGCCTTATGATGAATTAGCTTCTGTTGTTTCCATGTTGAAAAATCAAGCATTTAATTATCAGGATACTGTTAGGAGCTACTGCGTATTAGAGTGCGCCTCTGGTAGGCTCTGTTCCTGCTCCTGTCCCCACTGCTGTAAATTCGAGCTTAGCCTCTGTTTTCCAGTGAGAAACTGTCACTAGTCTGACACTGGGAAAATGCAGTTAGAATCTGCAAGACGTTTTTTGCAGTCTTTTTTATCCCTTGTGAATATGCTTTTTGTTGTTCTGCTTGAATATATTACTCTTTGCCAAACTAATTATTTTTATGTTTAACATACATAAATGTGTTTATAGCAGATGATTCATTGCTTCTCATTGCCTATTGCTGCTCTTTGGAAACACACATTGAGGCTTCATTAAGAAACTTCATTTAAGAGAAAAATACTTCTCTTTGAAATGCAAGGCTCTTGAGGAGTATAAAGCATACAACTAATTCATTTCCATAATTTATTATTAACTTATTACTAATTTATTTGCATAGTAAACATTGGCCAAATAATTGCATAGTAATGAAGCTGTCATCATAGAGAAAATGCAAACATTATTGTAATATTATAATTTTGCTGATCTGGACAATATTGCTTATCAGATAAAGGGACAAAAATCAGAAGAACTGAGCACGTCTCCATCAGTGTGGCCTTATTAGCATCCAGGTTGCTTGATTACAGCAAATGGTTCCGGGGGCCTGGCCTCGTGCACAGGAACGAGCACCGCTCGCTTTAGCAACCTCGTCGGCCGCTGCGCCGCTCTGCTTAGAAGTACGGTCAGAAAAACTGACCTGTATAGACGGGGCTCCAGCCGTGTTTGCTGTGTGAAAAAATGGAGCACGCTGATTTCTGGCCAAGAAAAAGGCAGTTTTAACACCATGGCAGACGGAGAAGCACTGYCCATGGGGCGCTTTGAGGCGGTGAGGGACGAGGCAGAGGGAAAGGCCGCCCGGCTGAGGTGTCCTGAGGTTCTCCCAGGAAACTGCAGCGCCCTCCCAGGGACAGGGCACTCAGCCCGCAAGGAGGGGAGTTTGTTTCCAACTGACAACTTCCAACTGAAACTTCAGTTGTCACTGCCAGTACGCACACCTCATTTCATTGGCGTTTCTATGAGGAGCCAGCAAGCAGCTTAGCGCTCCTCCAAAAATTTGGATACTTCCAATAATTCCTGAGCTAAAAGCTAGTTAAATTAACCAGGAGAGGGGAGCTTGTTACGATTTGACTGTAATGTACAATAAAGAGGACAAAATCCACTTTTAAATTATGCACTTAACTAATCCTCCAAGAAAAAGCCCACACCACCATCACCATCTTGCTTGTCAAAAATACTGCACTTTTTAATATAATTTCTGATTGAAGYTAAAAGCTGCAAACTGCATTGTCAAAACTATTTCGAGACCACTTTTTAAACCACTGGTAAATTAATTTATAGATACTGACTTCAGCTTAAGTTACAACATCCAATAAAAGTTCAAAGCATTAGCAAATCGGTGTTGGAACTTTTGTTAATATAATTACAACTATAGCAGTGAATACTCATGCTCTAAACCTTCCATGATGGAAATACAATTTCCTCTATAAACTTAGAGTATGAAGATCTGTTTCACTTGCAGCTTATTCAGTCACTGTAAAACAGTGATATTTAATTAGTTTTGAATGTGTGTTTAGCCTCACAATCATTAATATAGTGTTACTAATTTACATTCAGATTTTAATTCAGATACATGAATTTTAATGTTGATTTATGAGAAGAGATTATCAACCTTCTTGAAAACCAATGAGTGTTTTCAAGGAAGTTAATTACGACCTGAGAATGAGAGCTTCTGATTTTATTTAGAAAAGATAAAGCAGTTAAAAAAAGGAAATATTTCATTAAGCTTTGACTGCAGTACAATTCATTAATTCAGTTCAAAAAGACACCATATATATTGGATGAATCTGAAAATGTTAATAKTTAATAAACACGATAGCTTTTCATCGATAACTTCACCAGTCTCACCTAGATGTCACATGTCAGAACTCTGGCAAATCTCTTCCCATCTGACTGATCCCGTGCCTTTAGAATCAGCCTGTTTTACCTGGCAAATGAAAAAATCAGCTTAGACAAACAGCAGAGTCACAATTTTGTAGGACCCAGGACTGCGAATTGCATCCTGATCCTCTGTTTCAGTAAGGCTGTGAACTTAAAGTTTTTGCTATGTTTAGTGAGTCTTTTCCTGATTCTAGAATGTTTCTCATTAGATATGCTGCTAGTGGCAACGCGGTGAGTAAGTAGTGTGTCCTTCTTGTAACTTCAGTCCCTGGCATTTGCTCTGAACCGCAATGGGAAGGTCTTCCTGAGCTCCTCTCCGCATAACTGTTTCCTTTGGGACTGAGAAATGTGAACTTTTTGCTTCATTTATTGTGCAGTAAGAATATTTACATTAGATTATTGTCTGGCATCCTATCATTTACTTCTATTCAGCTTTTACTTCAGATAAATCTCACGTTTTAACAATATTCAGCAATGTATTAATCACTAACATTACCCTTTAGTGGCAATAATTAACATCATGTCAATAAAACACATTTCAAATATGTTTTTACACCTAAAATATCTTTTTATACCTTACAATGCAGTTTAAAAGGCAGAATGATTACTTAATAAAGCTGAAGTTGTATAAGTAATGACAGCATTGCAGCAGTAGAATACGATATAGGAAGCTTTGAGTCACACAACAGTAAACTCGTAGAGGACGTCAGAAGCGGGGAGACTCGTTTTGCCGTCACTGGGGTGCAGATCACAGGGCTGTGAAATGGTGGCAATAAGACAAGATGTACTCACCATCTTCCAGGCGAAAAGGGCAATCTTTATGGAAGTGTCCTGCCAGCAGAGAGCCACCTGGAAAGCAAGGCAGTGTTTAGAAGAAGCCTCCTCTACTGTTCAGCCCTCTGTGATCTGAGCTATTCCCGTTACATAGGACTACTATCCCTACACATGCTACTACTAATTAATATCTAATACTGTATTTTGTCGTTGGGGGGGTKCATTGATTAATAGTATTCTTAATGTTGAATATTTTCTAGTGCAGAAYATTCCCACTATTTACCACAGCTGTCCGGAAGATCCAGCATCAGTGATTCATGGCTACTTCATTTTTTCATGCCTTTGGGATACTTGGCATCAAAAAGTGAATTCACAAATATATAAGACACAATATGACAAAACAATAGGAACCATGGAAAAAATCGACCTTTTCTACAACTGTGTTCTGCTAGATCTGGGTTCCTTAAAATGGAAAGAAGAGTGAGACAATTTTTTTTTTAAATGTGGCATGAGTCACCTCATTGARAGGCAAACAAAAAGTACCTTTCGCTTCTCGTATTGGTTTGCCAGTTCCATCACACAGACAAACTTCACTTGCCTTTTCCATGCCAAAATAATATTTTTAACTGTTGACTTACAGCTTAATCATCATTCTAAATCCATTAACTTCCGCCCTCATATTTTGTCTCAAGAATCCTAGATTTAAAACACAAATGATAAAAACATAAATTCATTATTACATTGGTTTCTATGTAAGGAACACGTGCAGACTATACAAACCCATGCATAAACTACTGCAAATCAATTTGTCCACAGCTAAACCTACATATTTTTGATCARTCTGGCTATATGAAGCTTTTACACTATATAAACTATTTTAGCTTTCAAAGTGTCGTTATCAGAAGTTTAATTCCGTAAAATTACTTCCCTCTTCATTTTTTAATCCTGTCATACCAACTTTCCCGGCCAGAATCCGGACACAGGTACAGAATGAAGTAGGAGAGGTGGGCTGCATACACTGAAAAGCTTCTGAACACCCATGCCAGGGTTGTGATGTGCTGCTCAGTGAGCAAGGATATTTTCACAAACTTTCAATCTGCAATTTCAGCCCTAAATGATTTTTAGTATTTTTGCGCCGTGTTCTCTGCTTTATAGCRTATCGCTCCCTGAAATGCACACATCAGCTCTGACCAGTTTTATTACCATAAAATGAAACCAGGAGGGGAGGGAACTGAAGGATTTTAATATTTA